GAGAGAGAGAGAGGGAAAGCAAGCTGCCAGGTCCGGGACTTGAACCACAGTCAGCTATGTGGGAGTCCAGTGCCCTTAACCACCATGCCACCTGTTGGCTGCTCTTTTTTAAATAATTATTTATTGGGGTGGGCAAGTGCCATGGTGGTTAGGGCACTGAACTCCCACATGGCTGACTGCAATTTGAATCCTGGACCTGGCAGCTTGCTTTCTCTCTCTAGTCAAATTGAATTATAATAGTAATAAGTAAAATTAAGTGAATAACTACTGACAAATATTAATTAAATTAAGTAAATTATTATTATTTTTAAAATTTGACCAGAAAAAGACAGAGAGAGAGAGAGACAGGGAAAGTGAGAAAATAAGCCACCAGGTCTGGGACTTGAACCATGGCCAGCCATATGGGAATCCAGCATCCCAGCCACAACGGCCCTCAAAGCAAATGTTATTTGGGAAAAAATTAGAGGATGCTATCGTTTCCACGTTCACAAACTTGCATTTCCATGGAAGCCTCAGGGTGATGGCCTCCCAAGGGTCTGGGGTAGTCTCACACAGCTGGGTTACCATGTCTCTGAGTACCTGCGGTGGGGAATAAGATGGGTGGAAGGGCAGAGGACAGATCACCGAGTGCCGGTGCAGGCTGAGGAGTGGTCTCTGAGAGTCATGGGACACACAGGGATTGAAGCTGGGGAGCCACGAGGTGGCACTCACACTTAGACACCAACAGTACTGTGCACAGGAAGGAGGGGCGAGTGCAGAGAAGACTGGGTGGCAAAGCCTTCCCCAGTGACCCAGGCCAGGTGTGCTGGCCGAGACAGGGTATAACTTCTGAGGTAGTGTTGCTCAATAGAACTTCCTTTTTTTTTAAAAAAAGAATTATTTTAGGGGCTGGCAGGTGGTGTGGTGGTTACAGCGCTGGATTCCCACATGGCCAACCATGGTTCGAGTCCTGGACCTAGCAGCTTGCTTTCTCACTTTTCCCCTTCTCTCTCTGTCTCTGTCTAATCAAACAAACAAACAAAAAAGAATAGCAAATAAAATTAAATAATTTTTAAAAAATTACTTAACTTTATTTATTTATTTATTTTAGTTTGACCAGAGAAGGACAGGCTAAGACAGAAAGAGAGAGAGAGAGAGAGAGAGACATTGAAAAGAGTAAGCTGCTAGGTCTGGGACTTGAACTACAGTCAGCCACATGGGAGTCCAGCACCTTTAACCACCATGCCACCTGCTGGCCCCGCTCAAGAGAGCTTTCTGCAAGAGTGGAAATGTTCTAAATCTATACTGTGCAGTCCAACAGCCATTGGTCACATATGACTAAAAAATTTGGGGAGTGAGCAGCAGGTGGTATGGTGGTTTAAAGTGCTGGACTCCCACATGGGTGACTGCGGTTGTAGTCCCAGACCTGACAGCTTGAAAATCACATTGGGAGGGAACCAGCAGTTAATGTAATGGCTATGTTGCTGGGCTCCCACACAGATGACCGCGGTTTGCGTCCTGGACCCGGTGGCTGAAACTCAGTCTGGGCGCGTGTGCGTGCGTGCCCAAGATCCCGAGAGGAGAATGGAGGAGAAGGGATTGCGGCGTGACCATCCCCCCTGGGGGG